GGCACTTCCGATGATCTGACGAAAATTATTTTGAATAAAAGTTAGTCAATTTTCAATCGACTACAAATTGCAATATTAAAAATTTGCAAAATATTCTTTTTTAGGAAAAAAGTCAAGACTCTAATTTTTTTAAATGGCACTACGTATTTTTTACTTCATAATATTGTAATTAATGTCAAGACGAATTCAACGACCTGTTGTACTATGACCTTAAAATAATCTTAAAGTTAGACGTATGGGATCAATGAACGGAAATGTTTTCGTGAAAAATTATTTTATTTGTATTAAATTTTATATAGACATATTCTACAGCAGAAAAAGATTTTGTATTAGCAGCATATCATTATAGGAATACATTTTCGATAAACTAAGACTGAATTACGATTTGCTCTAATGACAAATTAAGATTGAACACAAGAATTATAACAACGTTCAAGCTACGCTATAAGTGTACTACAAGTTATGTTGACTGATATATTACCTATGAAGTGCGCGGAATTATATCAGTTTTTAACTAAATTAGCTACATTTAAACTACATTCGTACCACAATTTTTTGACTTTTCAAATAAAATAATTTTGAGATTTTTTCTCTCAACCTTTTTCATATTGCAGGTACTAGCTATTCAATTTCATTTTAGTGCAAAAGCTCATACAATTACAGTTTTAAAACACTGGTTTGTCCTGTTTCCGCTTTTTTCTCTTTTCCCCCTCATTTTTGTTTTACTAGATCGCATTTACATTGTAACTACTCTAACGTCGCACGAAATCATGAGTACGGACTTGCGAACTATTTGCGGAAGTTATGATGCCCCAGATATACGAAAAACACGGGAGGAACATAACAAGCAGTAGTTTTCGTCGACACGGTGAAAAAAAGTTGCAGGACTGCAGTGGGACTATACTGAACTTTCCGAAGTAGCTTCTGTCCGCTTACTGCAGCGACGACAAATGTTACCTCCGGGTTATATGCGAGTCTGGGACAAATATATTTTTCACGCATCCTCTTTCCTATGCAAAGTGATGAACCTATTACATTGAGCGATAGCGCGTTTTCTAGATATCGCGATATCCATTGCGACGACTTTCTATTTATTCGCGAAATAACATATCAGTGGATTTTTGCGAAGATCACCAATAAGTCTGGCAGAATAATAAGTCACCAAGAGATAAAATGTCACCGCTTGATTTCCTTTCTCTCTCATTCTGTTTTATTTTTAGTTCAAGTAAATATCCTTACTTGAATTATTTCTTTCGATCAATATTTGTTAGGAAGACGAACGGATAGTGAACGCAATCAAATTTAAGGATTATAAGCATCATTGATGCTTAATCCTTTCTTTAGATATTTTTTATATTGCATATTTAGGGGAAACTGGAGTCAAAAGTAACTAGTAGCATAAGTTGCAACACACTTACATAAAAAATATATAAACAAAATATAATGCACAAGCGTCAGAAAGAGATATAAATAATTACAAATTTCTATCTCTTTTTTGCGCTTTTGTATTTTGTTTATAATGTTTTTTTTATGTAGATGTTATAACTTACTCGTGTGTTACTTTTGACTCCAAAAAAAAGTCTCCCCTATTTATGCATTATTTTTTAAAACCATCTATGAGTTGAGCGTATTTATATACCGAAGAAATTGTAAAAAGAAAGTAAAGGCTCTTCTTCGTATTCCAAGTTAAACGTAGCATCATAAGATGTTCGATGTTTATATAAAAGTTCCCGGGGACTTAATTCTGTGACGTTTTATTTCTTAAAATAGTCTCCATTGTGTATCGGATACCCGGAAAAAGATACGAAGTTCCACGGACAAAAGTAGAGAGGAAGTGCCTTCATCCGCACGTTCAACGAAATAGAAACCGTCGCTAGAGGTATATTAGATTTCCTCGAAAATAAACGAACGTTGATACGAAAAGAATCGAGAAACCATGTATTACACATCGTGATTGAAATTGTCGCGAGATGTCAAAATGTAAATTGAAATTCGTATTTAAATATTACATATTGCGTTGTGTCGATATCAAAAAGTCCGGTAAATATTGCAACATTATTTATTCGATGCTGCAAACGCCACGGTATACATTATATATTGAGCGATAAGAATAGTCGATCATAATTTGTATCTCGCTGGTTTCGTTTCGACCCACTTTAGAAGAGTAAATTTCTCACACCTGAATTGACTCGCGGCACTTGTCATTCGCAATTAACGATTACATTTGTAACAGGGAACATTGAAAATGCAATTTTATTGCCAACCAGGGACAATAATCTGTTTTACGTTCGTATTAATTTGTGTAGAAAGCTCGGTTAGGTACTATATAAATCGATGAATATAATGCAACATAGTTAAATTCTATTTTTCGTATTTTCGACCAAATACATTATTTCGAAATTATACCTTTGTAACACAATTGGTATAACGTTCGTTAATTAATCATGTGTGTAATGTTTGATTGAAATAAGGTAAACGAAGCATTAAGCCGGTAACACGGTTTGACGATACAAGCAATTATTAATGTCCCATAATTATTAGCACACGATTATTCAAGAGAGTGAATCACCGTTTTTCCGGATTTGCACAGTCATGTTCAACATTACACTCATAAATGCGACTATTTTCCATTACTCGCTTCGAAAATGCGATTTAGCATTACACAATTACACAATTAATCGAGATTTTACATATCGATCTTGACGATAGTCATGCACGTTGTTTTAATGATATCAAGAATATAAATATCTTAGATAAAGAGCTAAGAATTGCCAAATCATAGGATACTTTTTATTTGATGACAAGTCGGTGATACAAATTAATACAAATGGAAAGCTCCCAATGGTTTCAAACCATCGTATATTCGATGCACTGTATAGTCGTAGACGGAACGGTTGTAGCAATTTTTTTTTATGGAACTCAGCTTTATTCTTCGAGAGATTGAATGTAAATTATTAGATTTATAAGTAAAAAGTATAAATAAGATAGATATCTATAAGTAAGATCTATAAGTAAGAACCAATCGCGAGCAAGCTGTATTCCGAAAATCATCGAAAAAAAGTATTGCAACCGTTCTGTTCATGATTGTACATTAACCATCGAACCATAATATATTTAGCCTGCAGCATTAAATTCATAAACGGCTGACCCGAATTATATATTGTTTCATGTGATATTAGGTAATTGATTCTTCGTTACTTAAAATTTGGATTCGATGTTAGAAGCAAAATAACGTAAAATTTTGAATAGAATATCTTTTTACAAAATATATAATAGATAAAAATAAAGATTCGTAAAGTATGCATAGAATTTACAAACCAATTAAAAATAAATCACGTGATTACTAAAGGCATACCGTTGCAAGCTTTTATCAATAGAATTAAGCAATATTTCTCTTAACTCGCTATACGAAATGCGTCAATGCGCGAATTCGAGGAGCACAGTATTAACGTCGAGCCGGTACTTATAATGGCGAGAAGAAGTTCGAAAGTTAAAGATCTAAACTTACTGCTGCATTCCGACCTGTGTGCAAGAGACTTCTCGTCGGATTACCGATTAAAAGTTTAACAGCCCGAACTTTTCAGCGACTTTACACAAAGCAACATGCCGAAGTCGACTTGGAGCACCGGTCGCGCTGTCCTGTAGAGGGGGATGTTTTAAAAGCTGATTATGCATCGGTAACAATCGTCAATTTGTTTCAACGGAGATCCTGAATTAGTAGGTGCGTGTGATCTAGTTGATCGTTAAACACATTGTCTCGACTTTCCTCTTGCCAAAAATATTAACCAGACGAAGTACTTCATGAAAGTGAAACATACTCGGCCCAGCGCGCGTTATGAAAGCGTCGTATAATATTAGCATATTCTTTTGGCCGCCGTATGAAGCATATCTCTGTGATAGAGTACGTCGAATATCGTACAACCGAGAATGAACGGGGAGATTGATGGAATTTTTGAGTTTGTCCAAATATTCGACCCCCTCTCTCATTCTTTCTGTCCATCGCGTAAATCGACGTGACACCATCCCTCCACATAAATATATATATATATATATGCATACCGCTTACAGTATACATCCTATAGCGTAGGCACATGCACTGTCATTTCATGAAAAGTGTTTTATTTCGCCAGATGTCCTAAATGCATATGTAACTATCCATCTGGTAGATTTAGAAAAAAACCTATTTTTAGAGCACCGATCATAGGATAGGAAGCGATCATATCACGAAAGAGAAAAGAGAGAGAGAGAGAGAGAGAGAGAATAAGTCATTGGAAAAAAAACTGAAATATTATCTTTTAAAAGCATGGACATTAAGAGCGTTATGAAGTTACGTAACAAAGGAGAAGTTTAGGTGCCAAGAATATTAAGTTCTCCTAGCGACGTGCGCGCTCGAAAAGAGAAAAAAAGCGGAGAGTGAAAAAGGGAAGGAAAAAGAAAATGAAAGTGTCGGGAATATAGTGAAGAGGGAAGAATTAAAGCGTTGTTGAGGCGGCACAGAAGAAACAGCGTGTGATATATATTTCGCCGTTGGTGGTGCGACGTCTGTGGGCGAACTAAACCGAGACAATATTTGCATATCTATTTGTGAAGTACGATTCCACGCACTCCGCGGAATGATGCGAGCTCTTCCCGCCGCAATACCGACAAAACGTCAGCAGGGAGCGAGCGAAACAATGAAAGCTCTCGAAACAGACGGGGAGGAGGAGATGAAGCTCTCGCCGACGAAGCATCGTCTTGTGTCCAGAAGAAATTTCCGAGTGAAAACAGCGAAGCTATTCCCGGCGACCAACCGCCCCGTTGCTTCTTCCAGTGCTTCTACAGGGAGAAACGGAGTCGTCCCCGTTACAGTCCTTCCTCATCTGCATTTCGCTTTTATATACTTTCTTTCTCCTTATTTCCGCGCCGTCTTTATGTAGCGAGGCGAGGCAGAAGGAAGAAAAGCACTCTACTCGCGCAGATATTTCTCTTTATGTACACTTGACATATAAAAATTTCAACTCTGAGAACAATTCGTGCCGTTTGTTAAACACAGCTTCAGACGGTAGCGTTACTATTGTGTTTTCGAGCGTGATAACCAACTTAAAGGATAGTGAGACCGGATTGTAAAATAATATGCTAGAAACCAGGAGAGTCTGATTTAAATTCTCATTGAAAGATCAAGCAACGCGTGAGATACAAAATTCAACGTATAGCATAAAAAATAAGACAGTCAAAATGATATTGCAAGATACGTGGATTTGTCATAAATGCCTAAATTATTTTGAATAACCTTAAATGACAAAATTCTAAGATATGTAATTCATATTTGGTTGCGTTACTAAAAAAGAATCATGAATCGTCGTGTTATATGTCCAACTAATGCACAATCACCGTACGATGAAGTTTCGCATGAAATTGACAATAACATTTTAACTATTACATTGCCTAAAGATAGACATCGCGTTCAAGCCGTGGATGGACAAATTGACGAGCCTATCATTGATGTTAATTGCTTGGATAAATATGGTGAAGTATTACTCTCTTTCTACAATAATTGCAAAACCAATAACAAAAATTTTTAAGTAAAATCTATTATGATTTATGATTATTACTTCTATTTATTAATTATGGTAGAAATACTAACAAGATTATTTGTAAAATTGAGATATATGTGTTGCTCTCTTCAAATTTATTACAAAATATATACCTTTCAAGGTAAGAAATGCAAGAAAGGCTGCCCGAAAATTAATGTAATGCATAATCAGGAACCTACTCCTAAAAAACCGGAGGAAGAAATGTTATTATTAAGGACAACAAGACAAATTACTCTCACCGACGATATGAAGCACAGTCTTGAAGTGGAATTTAAGTCACCACGAAATTATATCCCGTTGCCAGAACCAGGACCTACTCCGCCCATAATTATTCCGAAAGAACCTGTTATCTTGAAGAAACTTGAAGATAAAGGTAAAAAAAAGGAAGTAAAACAATGAAGATAAATATCAAGCAACACTTTTAAACACCATTTGTGGGAAATATTTTATTTGTGTAAGAAGTCTGGAAAGAAATTCTAATTTGCTATGTACAACAAGGCCAATGATAGTTGCTTGGAAAAGTAAACTCATGAATCCAATAAAACTTTTTTAAAGTAAATATATCTACAATTCTTTGCTAATAATAATATCAAAACTCTTTAAATATAGTAAATGTAACAAAAACTTTGTCAAATACGAATTAATTCATTTCCATGAAATTTTATCACCATTGTTAGGATTAATTCTCAAATAAAATGATAAACATATATTTTCCTCCCACCCATTCTTCGACTATTATTGCAACATAGATCGAACGATTTTGACGTTAGATACAAACGTCTTACAGATTTACGAGTTGCGAACTGAAGTGTTCGCCACTTTGTCGAAAACATGGAGGCGTGCGCAGGGTCGAATAACGGAGCGATAAATCATCGGTGGTATTATATTCTTGCCCGTCTTGGGAAACAATAGATCATATTGCGTATATATACATATATATACATACGGATACGCTGGTATTAAACCGTTTTTGGGCCCATTGTCGCCTAACGCCGTCGTGACGGCGACGACCTTTTTAAGCCGCGCTTTAAGTTCCAACCACCCCCCCCCTCTCTCTCTCTCTCTCTCTCTCTCTCTCTCTTGCGCCGATAAATCACCACGATTTTACCTGCTGGTAAGAGAAACGCGAACGCGAGCGCGAGCGCGTTCAGAGAGAATCAGCTCTCCGATAAAGAGTTTGAAAAAGGAAAGATCTCCGCAAATATTCCATTAGGAAGCGTTCACTAAGAGCCGGTGTAAAGTATCACTCGAAACTCTCGTATTGCTTCCAATGAGGGAAACCAGAAAGCCAAGGAGTATGTGGTAACGGAAAGAAATGCGAGATCAACGAAGAAATGCGAGAGAATCGATATGGATAAAGTGACAAAGGGATCTATTTTTCCGGAAGCGTAAAATATTCATTGTCGAAGTGGCAGCGAGAAAACGATCTTTACGTCGATCTTTGATAGTGCGGTTTCAGAGCTTTTACGTGGTTTCGATGCTCTTTCTTCATCTTTCTTCCTTTTTCCCTCATGAATGTATAGTCAATCGATATTTGAATGAGATTCTAATTAAATAAGCTTTTGTGTCTAACGTTCCTGTTTCAGATTTCTTTCCAAACAGAAAAAAGGGGCAAAGTGAGCTTCTAGATCTCCCTTCGTTTATTTTGATTATGTCACGGTCCCCACGTCCTGTCCGCAATCTCCTAGATTTTTACGACTTAAGCTTTGAGTTTCCCGCCCTCATGAATCAGTTGTACTTACGAGTGCTATGATTTGCGACGCATGATTTTTGCGAGGAAAAATGAAGGAGAAATGGCAAGAGGTAATGCGACGTGAGCCGATTAAAGATCGCGCACATGACGTTTTTCACGGGATGACGTAACGAGTGACGGATCGTTGCTGGCAAAAAGGTGCTGTAGTTACATTCGAAAATTGGAGAGAGATTACTGCTACTACCACCACGGTAGGGTCGACGTGAAAGGTACATCCGCAATCGAGAGGGGCGGGATGATGAAATGCGTCATTTGTCTGCGCGGACCCAAAATACTCACGGTACTCAACACGAAGAACATCGCGTGCGGTTACGAAGCTGTAAAAGCCTGGCAACGACAAATGCATCCGCTTGTTGCAAAGGCGCGCGAGTGCATGCACAAGTGTTGGCCCGTGCACTGGATGACTGTAATTGGGCGCTGGTTACAGAATTCATTGCCGCGTTTAGGGCCTTAAACGGCCGGGAGATAAATCACGATTAAACATGACCATCAATCTAAACTCCAACATGTAACGCCATGTAAAACAGAATGCGGCATTGAGAGTATATATATATATATATATATATATATATATATGTATATAATGCTGCGTAATTCTATCGATGTTCATTATATTTATTAATGTCATGGGACATTGATAATTTTATGCTTTTTCGGATTGCTGTTTGCGATCAATTTTCTTTGAAATATTAATCATTGTCATGTATCGAAATATTTGTCGTATAGCATGCGTTAGATCTGCGTAATATCCATGCGTACTATACGTAATCTCGCGTAACCGGGGGCAGAAATTTCGTTGCCACATTTAAGACTAGCCTAACCATAACATGGACCGGCCTCAGTATCGAATCCGACGTTGAGCAAAGCTGGTGAAACCGCAATTTACATGCGCAACGTACTGCCCTTAACGCAGCATGTATGGCTATAGTCGGGCTAATGGAGGATCTTAGTACAAACAGAATTGATGATTGCGATAACAAGGGCCTAAATTTATTTCTGAACAATATTTCAAAATCAGTCATGCATATTTCACTTGTTAATAAATCTTTTTCATAAAATCCGTATATTCCGTATACAGGAGTTTTAGAGTCATAAACTAGCTCGTTAATTGATCAACGAGTTTGATCATTAAAGTTTAATGCGAGAATAAAATATAGGAGAGTAAAATATACAGGATGTTTGGAAAATAATGATAAATCTTTCGCATAGGGGTAGAATGAAACTGAGAAGGAAAGTCCTCTACCATTTCGCAATTTTCACAATAATTAACAAGATATTAATTGCTAAAAATTACCGAAAATTGGTCTTCAATAATTTTTTACTCAAATACTATCAACTTTACAGAAAAACTGCAAAAGACAAAAATTGTTTATTTCCTTCTCATAGAACTCTAGAAATTATTTCAAAATTTTTTATTAACTTTTTAATACTGCATTTTTTCATTTTCACAAACATGAGAAAATGCGGTACTAAAAAATTCTGAAAAAATTCTAAAAAAATTCTTAGAGCTTTACAAGAAGAAAATAAACAATTTTTATCTCTTGAAGTTTTTCTGTAAAGTTGATAGTATTTGAGTAAAAAATTATTGAAGACCAATTTTCGGCAATTTTTAGCAATTAATATCTTGTTAACT